CCCTCACTCAGAGTCAGAGTGGCTTACAGTCTCCTTTCCCTTCCCCCTCAACACACACCCTGTGAGGTAGGTGGGGGCTGAGAGAGCTCTCTTGAGAACTACTCCAGAGAGAACAGCGCTGAAAGAACTTGTGACTGACCCAAGGTCACACCAGCAGCTGCATATGGAGGCGCGGGGAACCAAACCCGGTTCTCCCAGATTAGAGTTCGCGCACTTAACCACTACACCAAACTGGCTCAGAAGAAGAAGAAGAGGAAGAGGAAGATAAAGAGGAAGAAGAGGAGGAAGAGGAGATTGGATTTATACCCCGCCCTTCACGCAGGGTCTCAGAGCAGCTTACTATCTCCTTTCCCTTCCCCTCCCCATAACAGACACCCTGTGAGGTAGGTGGGGCTGAGAGAGCTCTTTCGAGGACTGCCCTTGTGAGAACAGCTCTGAAAAAACTTATGACTGACCCAAGGTCACACCAGCAGCTGCATGTGGAGGAGTGGGGAATCAAACCCAGTTCTCCCAGATCAGAGTCCTCGTTCCTAACCACTACACCAAACTGTTGGGAGGATAAAATGAAGGGGGCCTCCCCAGCACCTTGGAGGAAGGGCAGGACAAAAACACAGTCAATGGATCAGCTGACGGTGTCATAAGGAAGCAACTGCAAGAGGCGCAATTAGAAAGACCACCAACGTGGGGACATATTTCCACATGTGGTGGATGTGTGGGAAAACCCATAAATGCTGGTTAGGAATCCAAAAGATAATTCAAGAAATAATATATATTAACTTGCCTTTTGAACCAGAGATTTCTTTATTGAATATTACACCAGATAGTTATAACAAATTTGATATATGTATGGTAATATATATCTTAGCATTGGCCAGAATTTTGTTCGCAAGGTATTGGAAAATGGATAAGGTACCAACAAAGGAAGAGCTGGATCAGAAATTATTGGTTATGGCTGAAATGGACAGACTACGCTGCCCTGAGTTTGCTTTGCGGGGAGGGCGGGGTATAAATATGACAATTAATTAATTAATTAATTAAATAAGCTCATTACTTCAAAGGAAAGATGAAGAAACCCATGTAAAATGTCGGTCAAGAGTGTATAACTGGCTACAAAAAAAATCTATTGAAACGTAAGACTCTCACGATTATGATTCAATGTAAGCACACTGTTTGTGTAACAATGTAAAACTATAAATAAAATATTTTTAAAAAAGAAAGCTCTTTTTGTAGAAAAAGCCAAGCAGGAACTCATTAGCATAATAGGCCACACCCAACATCAGACACTCATTAGCATATTAGGCCACACCCCTGACAGCACAGCTCATTGGCATATTAGGCCACACCCCTGTGTTACCAGAAGTGTGGTCATCCAGCCACACCCACCTTTTGCTTCTTATTCTGTTTACCTTGTTTGTTGTCAAAACCCAGGGCTTTTTTGTAGCAGGAACTCCTTTGCATTTTAGGCCACATACCCTTAATGTATCCTAATGAGTTTCTGCTGTTGGGTGTGTCCTATTATGCTAATGAGTTCCTGCTAGGCGTGGCCAACTTGGAAGCCAGCTGGAATTCCGTCCCTGTGCGTTCCTGCCCAAAAATAGCCCTGACTATAAATAAAATAGTTTTTAAAAAGAAAAACACACACACCCCGCTAAGCAGACGTGAACTTACGAGATGCGCATGGCTGTCGGACGAGGCACCGAAGCCGGCGGAGGCCTTCAGGAGCCGGACGAGCAGCTCGGACGCGGGCTCCTGGGCCAGGATGACGGACGGAGGGTAGTGGCTGTTCATGTAGCTGATGATGCTCTGGTAGGACGAGATGCCGATGAGCTGCCAGGGGAGGGAGCTGGTCTGGCCCAGGAGATTCAGCAGGGGGGACTCCTGAGGTTCCAAAAAAACCCAGAAATCTCATTCACGCTTCGACCGACCACACGAAGAAGAGAAGAGATTGGATGTATACCCCGCCCTTCACTACCGAAAGGTATCGCAGAGCGGCTTACAAACTCCTCTCCCTTTCCCTCCCCACGACAGACACCCTGTGAGGTGGGTGGGGCTGAGAGAGCTCTGACAGAAACTGCTCTTTTTCAAGGACAGCTCTGACAGAACTATGGCTTGCCCAAGGTCATCCAGCAGCTGCAAGTGGAGGAATGGGGAATCAAACCCGGTTCTCCCAGATTAGAGCCTGCGCACTTAACCCCTACACCAAACTGGCTCTCGACACACAAACAGCACTGAAGAACACAAGGCCAGCCTGTTTACGAAGCACTCTCGACACACAACAGCACTCTCGACACACAAACAGCACTGAGGAACACAAGGCCAGCCTTGTTTACGAAGCCGCGTTAGTCTGCCTGTAGCAGTAGGAAAGAGCAAGAGTCCAGTAGCACCTTCAAGACTAACAAAATTTGTGGCAAGGGAGGATCTTTCGTGGGTCTGGCTGTATCGGAAGAAGTGAGCGGTGACGCATGAAAGCTCCCACCCAGCCACGAATATTGTTAGTCTTTAACTCTGCTCTGGTTAGACCTCACCTAGAGTATTGTGTTCAGTTTTGGCCCCCACAATTTAAGAAGGATATAGACAAGCTGGAACGTGTCCAGAGGAGAGCAGCAAAGATGGTTGAGGGGTCTGGAGAACGAGTCCTCTGAGAAAAGGCTGAAGGAGCTGGGTCTGTTTAGCCTGGAGAGGAGACGACTGAGAGGGGATATGATAACCATCTTCAAGTACTTGAAGGGCTGTCATCTAGAGGAATGGGGCGGAGTAGCCCCAGAAGGTCAGAGCAGAACCAACAGGGTTGGAATTAAATCAGAAGAGTTTCCGGCTAAACATTAGGAAGAACTTCCTGACAGAGCAGTTCCCTCAGTGGAACAGGCTTCCTCGGGAGGTGGTGGGCTCTCCTTCTTGGGAGGTTTTCTAACAGAGGCTCGATGGCCATCTGACAGCAATGCTGATTGTGTGAATTTAGGCAGATCACGAGAGGGGAGGGCAGGAAGGGTTGCCTCAGGGCTTAGTTCTTGTGGCCCTTTCTTACATGCCCAGGGAAATGCTGATCGTCACTTTGGGGTCAGGAAGCAATTTTTCTCCAGGTCAGTTTGGCTGGAGATCCTGGAGGTTTTTTGTTAACTTCTAGGCATGGAACAGGGGTCACTGGGGGTGTGTGGGGGGGAGGTATTTGTGAATTTCCTGCATTGCGTAGGGGGTTGAACTAGATGACCCTGGAGGTCCCTTCCAACTCTATGATTCTATTATACTGGATTCTTTTCTATTGTTTAAGCAGCAACATTTGCCCTGTATCGATCAATCAGCCTTTACTAGCATATAACAAGATGATTAGCACAGCAGGTAAGTCTTTCAAACAATTCAATTTCAAAGTGTGGGCGTGTATTGTTTGAAAGACTTCTCTGCTATGTTTTGAAAACGACAAACCAATGAAGCCTTCGACAACATATCGTTCTGAAAGACTTAACTGCTATATTTTGAGAACATCGAATTGACAATGTTTTTCAGCACAGGCATTTTATTCCTTTAAATATACTGCATGAGAATGGAAATGATTATGGACTGAACACATACGTAACAGACTTTGGAATAAGTGTTGAAGTATTTTGTAATTTGTTCACTCCCCCCCCCCTTGCATTTAGCCTCTTTCCGTGAATCTCTCTTTGACTATTTTTGTCATCAGCAAGCAGCTGGCAATGACGGGCCAGGAGACGTGCACTCTGCCCACTTGCTTGCAGCTTCGTTCTCAGCTTCCACCACCGGCACTCAAAGGGTGGAGGTGAACCTCGTGGATGGGTTGGAATCACATGAGTCTCACCTGCTGTATCAGGGCTGGGCGGTGGCTCTGGATCAGCTGTTGGTGGTGAGTCTTGGTCGGCCTGCCACTCATGACCCTGTTTGCTGGCTTCTGCTGAGTCAGAGCCAGCCGTGCGTGGCTCCCCTTCTCCTGAGGAGTCCTCCTCCCCTGAGGACCTCATGCTGAGCTCAGGCTGACCCACGATGCTCAGTGAGAACGGCAGGCTATGAACAAGCTAAATAAGTATATGGAGGCAACCTAGGTTCAAGTCCAGAGGCACCTAAGAGACCAACAAGAATTTTGGGGTATGAAAATACCCAAAAAATCTGGCTCACCTCTAAGGCGCTGCTGGACTTGAATCTGGGTGTTCTACTGCAGACCAACATGACTGCTTCCTGAAACTGTAGACATACATGAAGCTACCTTATACTGAATCAGACCCTTGGCCCATCAAGGTCAGTATTTGCTCAGACTGCAAGCAGCTCTCCAGGGTCTCAGGCAGAGGGGTCTTCCACATCACCTCCTCCCTGGTCCTTTCAACTGGAGGTGCCCGGGATTGAACCTGGGACCTTCTGCATGCCAAGCAGAGGCTCTACCCCTGAGCCACCACCCTTACCTGTGAGTTCAATCACCTGCATCTGTCTTACACCAATGATCTCTCAAGGTCAGCTCTGTCTACTCAGACCGGCAGGGGCTCTCCAGGGTCTCAGGCTGAGGTCCTTCACGTAACCTCCTGTCTGATCCTTTTACCTGGAGATGCCAGAGATTGAACCTGGGACCTTCTGCATGCCGAGCAGAGGCTCTGCCAGTGAGCCATTGCTCCTCCCAAGCCTAGGGACAATTGCACCACCACCAACACGTACCTCGCAGCCAGGCACGGAAGTCTGTGGGTCAGAAATTCTTGTATCACAGAAGAAGCCTGAAATCCTTTGATGGGAGTCACACATGATACTTTACTGAATCAGGTCACTATTGTCTACTCAGACTGGCAGCTGCTCTCCACGGTTTTAGGCAGAGGTCTTTCTCATCACCTCCTGCCTGGTCTTTTTAACTGGAGATGCCGGGGATTGAACCGGGGACCTTCTGCATGCCAGGCAGAGGCTCTGCCACTGAGCCACAGACCCTCTTTACAGCTCTCCAGGGTCTCAGGCGGAGGTTTTTCTCATCACCTCCTGCCTGGTCTTTTTAACTGGAGATGCCGGGGATTGAACCTGGGTCCTTCTGCATGCCGAGCAGATGCTCTATCACTGAGCCACAGCCCCTCCCGAGTCTAGGTACAATTGCACCACTATCACCCAATGTTGAGGGAAGTCGGGGGAGGGGAGAATTCCGCTCCAGTTTGGGATCGTACCTCTTTGGTTACCAGCTGCTGCTCCTTCGCCAGCAAGACCACCATGTAGAGCAGGCACACGATCATGTTGTGGGTCTCCGGAGGCGGGCTGGGATGCCAGGCGTTCGAGAGGACGCTCACCCAGTTGACTTCACACAAAACCGAGCCCAGGAAGAGGAAACAGCTTTTGGGACTGCCTCTTTCAATCTAGGGAAGGAAGGAAGGAAGGAAGGAAGGAAGGAAGGAAGGAAGGATTAAAAGTGATTTTCACAGACTAATCTCTAATGTAAACGTTTTCCT